ATTCATTACTTTGATTATTGATCATTAATATTGATAATTAATAATGAATGTGACAGACCCATCCGTATGGACTAAAAGTACTGTGTTCGTCTGTTTTGCCGTTTGCATGAATTTCCCCATTCGTATGCCTTGTTTAAGGGAATGTATTTTTTTTGTCGAACGGAACTACCGAACGGACGGCCACCCAGAAGAGAAGTGTGCTGCTGGTTAACCTATTGATCCCAATTAGAACGTTGCGGTTAACCACAGACACTTCTCAATTAAAACCGAATACCGGGTGGTCGTCGTTCATATGTCGAACACGAGGCGGCTGCCATTTTGACTATGCGAAAGCCCAGCGGTGTTCGACGATTATTTCATAGAACTCAAAACGGACACTTTTTCAACTGAACACCGCTGAAGCCGTCGACCTCCCCTTCTCAATCGACAAAAGCATACGAATACCGGCCGTTCGGGAGATTTAACAACACGAATGGACTTAACCCAGATAGTCTTCCCATGGAGTCAATCGCATACCGAAGAGCTGTAATAGACTTTGACTCCATGGCGATTGAACTATGCGTATGGGATCTGAGCGCTATTCACCAATAATATGCACTCAGATCCAGGCTATCTGGGGATGTGTTATACGAATGCAATACGTTCGGCAGTTATAAAGTTATGGATTTTAATGTGTTTTGTAACTTTGAGTTAAAATGGCGATTTGCCTCTGCTCTGGGAGATAATTGAATTACTCCCCAATTATCTCCCGAGCAGAGGGGAGGAAACTGTGATGCATGCTGGGAATATTGTGGGTATGTATGTCCAAAATGTCCCCATGTCCTTCTGTTATTTCAGTCTCCCATTTGGTCCCCTAGGGGAGTGTCCACCAAGTGGGAGACCTGCATAAATACGGGCAGGTAGCCCACAGTAAACTCAGTTAGTGTTTTACCCTCAAAGCGGAGCTTGGTCTCGTTATTGGGGGGATTTTATTACCGGCGACTAGAGACTGCTTATTGGGATTATTTGCCGCTTGGAAACTATTGCCGTTCGGCTGCTAGTGGCGATTCGTGCATTTGGAGCTCGTGAAGGGAAAGAGCCGTACAGGTACCGTTCAGGAGTTTGGAGTGTTCCCTAGCTGGCGGTTCGCATGGTTGTGGCAATAATGGCAACTGAGAATGTAGATTATGTGACTGTTACTGAGACATGGTATAAGGAGAAAAAGGATTGGAACATAGCAACATCGGGTTACTATTTGTATAGAAAAGACAGAAGGCAAGAAAGGGGGAGGGGTAGCCCTGTGTGTGTAAAGAATATCATAAAATATATCCTAATACAAATTAGTGAGCTTAGCTTTGGGTTACGTTAGAATTTTGTAATCACATAGTAACTCATGTAGGTATAATTCATAGGTCCTCTGGACAAAAAGAGTTAGATCATTTACTAGTTGAGGAGATAAAATTGAAGAGTGACGATTTCATTATGGGTGACTTTAATCTTCCTGATATGAACTGGAAAACCAAAATAGCCAATTGTGCCAGGAGTGCACATATTCTAAACTCCCTACTGGTATTATCTCTAAAACAAGTGGTTGAGGAGCCAACTCATAATTAGGCCATACTAGATTTAGTGTTAACAAACTGAGATATTTTATTGGATATTACTGTAAGTGAAAGATTAGGATGTAGTGATCACCAGTCGGTGTGGTTTAATATAAAAACAACAAATATAAATAAAACGAAAGAAATATGCAAGCACTTAATAACAGGGCAAACAAACAGACGAAATTAAAGGCAGTCGACCTGGAAATGTGGGGTTCCCTCAAAACACCCAAAAACATGTGCATGAAGCAAAAAAAATAGAGGGGCAGGTAAAATAAGCCAATAATACACGTAAACACAAAAAATAAACAGAAACGGTATAAACAGAAGTAAAGTAAATCATTAAAATATAGCTAAAATAGCACACAATAAAAACAAAAGGAAATATATATACTTAAAGTAAAAATAGTCTTTTTAGCAAAAAAAAATATTTTCCTTAAATGGTAGGCTTGGAGAGGATTTCTTATAGTTACTCAGATAGGTAAGTATACGTGGAATAAAAAGAAGGCCAAAGAGTCCAAAAGTGCAGTGGGTTTAAAAATTGGGACATATACAACACTAAAAGTATGGTAATAAACTCACATAAAGAAACAGCTCTGAAAAGTGTAAGTAAGGCTATTTCATTACCACCTTTTACTTACTTATATAGAGAACTCTATTTAGCATTTTTCCATTATTCATGTGGTCTCCCTCCATGTCTCCATGTCGACCATTCTGTAAATGAGGACAATAGCTGATATTCCTGTATATCCAGAAGTGGGGATCTATACCATTGCATGCTGTTTTAACTAAAGCTGGTTGTAGCTCTATTCCATGTGAGTTTATTACCATACTCTTAGTATTGTATAATCCAATTTTTTAGACTCACTGCACTCTTGGACTCTATTTTGCCTTCTTTTTTTATTTCATGTATACTTACCTATCCAAGCAACTATACGAAGTTCTATCCAAGCCTACCCTTTGAGGAAAAGATCATCTTCACTAAATTGACTCTTTTTACTTTAAGTATATATTTTTCCTTTGGTTTTTTGTGTGCTTTAGCTATATTTTATTGATTTTGTTTTACTTGTATTATACGAGGAAAACAAAAAGAATTAACCTAGGGCCAAAATTTAGATATCACAAGGTAGAGGGCACAAAAAAGGGGGGTAACCCCTAAATGGTGAATATCATAGGGAATAAACAAAAAAAGAAACAAATGCCATTCTACCTGTGTATGATTTACTGAGAAGACTGTAGATTAAAAAGTAACTTTTAATAAATAAATCTAAAATAAGAATATAAAAAAGAGAAAAATAATATGAACAGCAGGAGTAAATGGAGACTATACAGCGAGTGAAACTCTGTGACTACTTATATAAGCTGTAAAAGTGTATACATAATAACACTAATGCTGAAGCAATACTGTTTAGCTACAATATAACAGTGTATTCCCAAGTAATAGAAGTGATACTATATTATATATCACTAATAGCTGTAGCAAAAAGGGGGGGGGGAGATAAGACAACTGCTAAACCAGTGCTGTCAATAGTTCAGCTAAGACAGATTTCTGACAGACGGCGATTAGCCAGTTAAATATCACAAAAGCTGCCTAGATCATAGCAGCATTTTGATAATAAATTAAAGCTTGCTGTCAAGCAGTAAAGTATAAAATAAGGGGTTGCTGACCTGGCTCCATTTTTTCTGCAAGATACCTAGCAGTATATTCTAGTGTAACAACAGCTGCCTGCACTGAATGATGTTAACTTATGCTTGACCACAGTGGAGCACAAAGTAGTAGCTCACCTGTGAAGGACTGCTGACAGGCAGCAGTTAACCGGTTAAAAATCACACAAGTTGCCTAAATGCTAGCTGCATCTAAATAATAGGTCAAAGTATAAAGAGAGGGTTTACAAACAGTTTTGAACAGGTTGCCTAGGTAGTAGAAAATATACAGACAGTGACAGAGGAAGGCATATAGAATAAAGATTCCTGAGTCTTGTGCCTTCGAGGGCACCCCTTAATAAAATGCCTGGTCTTATCAATCTCCCCCCATACACATAATAAAGGAAAAAGAAAGAGAAATAAAGTATGTACAGAGTACACAAAATTTGTGTTAAGAGTCTCCAATATGCACTCCTGAAATGCTGGACATAAATGAACTTGATGTCGGTAATTTAGCAATAGATAAGCAGAGAGTTAGATGCCGACACCAATAATGTGTCAGTAAATGTCCAGAGCCCCTGACGTGCACGTTTCGCCAGTGAAGCCCTCTGATGAGTAGTATTATTGCTGTGATACTTTTTACTGTTTTGAAACACAAATATTTGTGTTCAGCGAAGTCTCCCGAGTACAACAGTACCCCTCATGTACAGGTTTTATGGTTTCTTGGAAAGTTATAGGGTTAAATATAGTGCTAGCCAATTAAAAAGTTACAGCGTCAAATATAAAGCTTGCGTTTTCATTTTTTTCACATTAAAATTTGCCAGATTGGTTACGGTGCCTTTGAGACCCTATGGTAGCCCGAGAATGAAAATTACCCCTATAATGGCATACCATTTGCAATAGTAGACAACCCAAGGTATTGCAAACGGGGTATGTCCAGTCTTTTTTAGTAGCCACTTAGTCACAAACACTGGCCAAAATTGGCATTTTTTGCATTTTTCACACACAAACAAATACTAACGCTAACTTTGGCCAGTGTTTGTGACCAAATGGCTACTAAAAAAGACTGGACATACCCCATTTGCAATACCTTGGGTTGTCTACTATTGCAAATGGTATGCCATTATGGGTGTAAATTTCATTCCTGGCTACTATAAAGTCCCAAAGGCAACGTAACCAATCTGGCGAATTTCAATTTCAAATGTAACGTGCTATATTTGACCCTGTAACTTCCCAAAACACCATAAAACCTGTACATAGGGGGTACTGTTTTACACGTGAGACTTTGCTGAATAAAAATGTGTATTTTATTGCAGTAAAAGCAAACAGTATTATGACATTGACAGTTAAAATGTCATGTAGAACTAAAAAAAATAAAACATTTTGTTTCGTTCACAACGTGTACATTTGGCTCCGTCCTTAAGGGGTTAATTCCACATCATAAATAAAGAATTTAAAATTAATTTAAAAAAAAAAAAAAACTGTTGCTACTGTTAATGCTAAAATGTTAATGTCAAAATGTGATGAGTTAATTTTTCTTCTTTTGAAAGAGCTCAGTATCATTATTGCAATGTTTCTCTCAGTGTGGGAAAGCCAAACAGAGTGTGAACTTTGTGCTTTGTAAATATCAGCAAAATTGTATTTATTTAACTCATAAAACTAACTTTAAACGTTATTTTTAATCTTTTATGTATATAATTATTTGTATTTCCCATAATTTACTGAACGTCTCTACGTATAAATCCATTAAGCAGAGAACCAGATCACATTGTGCTACAGAACTCCATGATGGATCCCAGCTCTCATAAATTCTATCACAAGGATCACGTTGATCCAGGCAAATTATATAACACTTACGCTGGTGCCGAAGCAGATAAGAAGCACACTGATGAGCTTTTATTATTCCCTATGAAGTTAATTTTCAGTGAGGTAAAATCAGGTATGTTTTTATTTCTGTTTTTCTATTTAAATAGCTTTTACTGTTTAATGCCAGGGGCCAAATTTAATATAGCAAAAGAGCAACAATTCTGGGTTAAAGTGATACAGCTAGAGCAATTTATAAATATAGAACAATTTATAAGATAGTACAATTTATATGGAAATGGAATAACCTGGCAGAAAAAAAGCAAATATGCCAGCATTCTTAAATCTCAGAAAACATCTCTATCCAACTAATATCATAAAAAAAGCAACTGCACTCATGCAAATTATATATATTATGATTATTATTGGTATTTATATAGCACCAACTAATTCTGCAGAGCATTACAATGTTATGACATTACAATACATGAGACATTTACACAGTGACTCAGGAACAAAAGCTAGATGAGGACCCTGATCAGACAAGCTTACAGTCTGGATGAGGTGGGATACAACAGGACAGCAAGGGTGACAGCCACCAAACAAGGTGGAAAAGTAGCAGAGCTGGAGGTGAGTGTGGAGTAAGCCTCTTTAGGAGAGCAAGACACAGACTTGGGTAAGTATAGATAGTTACTCTGGGAGTCCATAAACATTTCTGAACAGATATGGTTTGAGGGACTTCTTAAACAATTGAAGACAAGGGGAGAGTCTGATTGGAGTATGCAGGCTGTTCCAAAAGAAGGTAGTCGCCCGCAAGAAGTCCTGCAAGCGTGAGTTAGCAGTAAGGGTGCGAGCTGCGGACAGGAGGTCACCGGCAGAGCGGGGAGGCCTAGAAGGGGCATATCTATGAATCTGGGAAGAAATGTAAGAGGGGCTAGAGTTGGTTAGAGCTTTATAGGTAAGGGTTAGTATTTTGAATTGAAACCTGTATGATACGGGAAGCCAGTGTAAGGATTGACAGAATGCACCTATAATTGCACCATATATATATCTTATTATATATGTAACAATGTAGTATGCAGTCTTGGACATAGATGGAAGGAAGACATTTCAGTGTGTTAAAATATAGTGGTTTATAAATGACCTTTGAGGATTAACATAAGATACAAAGTTTAGAGGTAATAGTGAAGTTTGTGTTTTTAAACTAAATCTTGTTATAATTAATCCATTCACACTGGTACCCATGTATATACATTTTCCATGGCAAGCACCCTGGAATCATTTATACATGATTTTAATGTTTTAATTTAGTATGCGTAGAGGCTGGACACAGAAAAACTGCGTTCTCACTATCATTCCTCAATACTCACCCTGCCAGTCTCCCCTCACTCTGTCACGCTCGCCAAACTTTGACAAACTCACCCCCACAACATTGTTTTACTCAGCAGCTGTAACACTGTCACGGTCACTCCCCAAACCCTGTTACACTAACCCTCTATCACCCTGCCTCACTCACCCTGTCATACATACCCCCTCAAATGGTCACACTCACAACCCAACTCTGTCATACTCAACCCCTATCTTGTTTCACTCTCCCCATTTACCCAAGTACACTCATCTACTTACTTACCCCCAAACCCGTTGCACATGCCTTCTTACCCTGCCATAGTCATCCTATCATACTATGTTCCTTGCCATGTCACACTCATGCTGACACCTCTAAAGAAAGTCATCCTCATAAACACACAGTCACCTATCTCAAGCATCCCCCATTGTACAGTGCTACGGAATCTGATGGCGCTATATAAAGAATAAAATAACAAAAATAATACTTGTACATTATGCTAACTTTAGTGTACCGATAATCTTAATTTTATTAATGACAGGAGGCGAGTATTTGCTTAAGTCTTTCTTTACTTAAGCTTCACAGCGGCACTTTTTTACTTAGTAACAGGGTAACCAATCAGAAAAAAGAGATAACAAGGTATAAGAGTCCCTCCCTGTGATGTCACTTCCTCTTTCTGGCTGCGAAACAAATAGGAACAGGAACTGCAACTGAACCGGATGAGGAATTCAGGATGCCAGATGAGAAAGCAAATGCTAGAGAGGGAACAGGAACATAAGCATGTCTTCTTAGAGAGCTGAGATGATGCTTGAGATGGAACGGCAACTGAACTTGTCTTCATGAGGGGCTTTATGCTGAAACGAGAAAGCAGAGTCGAAACCAAGGATTAATCCGAGAATTGGACTTATAAAATATGACATTCGGTATTTAGAAAATCCCGTCTAAAGCCCGCCTCCTACGAAGTGTAAACTATCCACCCCTAGAGAGAAACCCTTAGCCCACCCACGGTAGAGGTACATAGTGTATGTATTTAGTCTAGATGAACTTACCTAGATAGGTAACCTTAGGGAGGGGAAAAAGAAACGAGAGTGAAGGGTGGGAAATACTCGCCTCCTGTCATTAATAAAATTAAGATTATCGGTACACTAAAGTTAGCATAATCTACAATTTTATATCATGACAGGAGGCTTCGTATTTGCTGTTTTAACGCTCCCCAAGAAGGGCTAAGGAAGCGTGCACAGCCGGACGAAAATAGAAGTTGCGGAAAGTCTGCTGAGTGGAGAATGTCCCGAAGTGAGGCTCCAGCGCTGAAAGCTCCCGATGCCGCCGCTCCCCTGATGGAGTGGGCTCCGAAGGAGGCCTCAATCCCAGCAAGGGAGAGCAACCACCTAACCCATCGGGCAAGGGTTATGGTTGACACCGGATTATGTGGTCGGACGTAGGAGATCAATAGTTGGCTGGAGGAGGTTGGACGAAGAGAGGAGGTGAGTAGTAAATAATGAGAGAGAAGTGATACCACACACAATTTTGCATGGTTAGGGAAATAAGGGTAAAACACCGAAGAAGAGTTTGATTTTGTCCGTCTGGACACGGAAAAGGTGACACCTTCTGGGGAAAAATTGATAGCGTCATGGTCAAATGCTCGAACATCTGACACTCGTCGGAAGGATACTAAGCAGAGTAGCAGGGTGAATTTTGCCGAGAGTTGACGGAAGGTTAGATCTTCGTTGTTCAGCCAGGTTTCAAGGAAACAAATCATGACATTAACATCCCATAGATGGGAGTATTTTGGTGTTGGGGGGCGAGCCAGTTTGATGCCCCTCAATAGTCTGCAAACCAGCAGGTCCTGGCCCGCTGGAATTCCGTGTAGAGGGACATGGGCTGCCGAGATTGCTGACCGGGCCACGTTGATGGACCGGTATGTACGGCCTAAGTCGAACAGGTGCGAGAGGAAATTCAGTATGAACTGTCTAGGGGCTGTAAGGGGATCGGTATTCCGTTCCATGCACCAATTGCACCAAGTACTCCAGGAAGAAAGGTAGCATCTTCTGGTTCCAGGAGCCCAGGAATCCCAGAGAAGTTCTTTAGATCTCTGAGATAATTCTCCGAAATTCCAGGATCCCCTGAAAGAGTCCAAGCCACTAATTGGAGATGACCTTGCATTATCATCGGATGAGGGTTTCCTTGAGGGTCCTCTAACAGGTTGGGCCATAGAGGTAGAAGGAGGGGATGTTGGCAGGAGAGGTCCAGGAGATCTGGGAACCATGCTTGGCCCTGCCAGAGCGGGGTGAGTAGTATCAGTGTGACCTGTTGTCTGCGAATCTGAAGAAGGGTTCTTGGGATAATCGCAAACGGAGGGAAGGCATAGGCTCCCGTCGTCGGCCATTTCTGAAGAAAGGCATCTACTGCCGAACATTCCGGGTCTGGTAGCCAGCTGAAGAAGCTTGGGACTTGAAAATTCGTCCAGGAGGCGAAAAGGTCCAGAGTAAACGTGCCCCTGAGTTTGGAGACGTGGAGGAAGACTGACCTGTGTAAGCGCCAGTCGCTGCCGTCTCTCCAATGTCGGGAGAACCAATCGGCGGTGGTGTTCATCTCCCCCGGGAGGTATTCTGCCCGGAGTGTTATGTTGCGCTGGAAGCAAAAATTGTAGATGTCCTTTGTCACCTCGGACAGGGTGTGAGATCTGGCCCCGCCCAATTTGTTGATGTATTGAACGGCCAAGATATTGTCCATTCAGAGGAGAATACAACAGTCTGAGAGATGATTGGCCAGACTGCGGATTGCAAATGATCCTGCGATTAATTCTAGACAGTTGATGTGGAGAGAGTGTTCTGCATCGGTCCATGGTCCCCCGGTGGAAGTTGTATGACAAGTTGCGCCCCAGCCTTGGAGGCTCGCGTCTGATTCCACCACAAAGTCCGGAGTGGGACCAAAAATTGCTTTGCCGTTCCAGGCAGACATGTGGCGAAGCCACCAGTAGAGTTCCTCCCTCACCTCGGTAGTGATCGGGACCCTTTGGTCATATGATGGATGGGTCTGGAGGAATTGAGCCTTCAAGCGTTGCATGGCCCGATAATGGAGGGGACCTGGGTAGATTGCTTGAATGGAGGCAGAAAGCAGGCCTATAATCCGAGCTAAACCTCGGAGAGGTAGATCCACTTGACGAAGCGTCTTGCGCAGTTCCTTCCTGATCGCGGTTAACTTGGACGGCGGCAGGCGGAGAACACAGGTGGAGGAGTCGATCTCGAAGCCGAGAAACTGTATGATTTGGGATGGAGTCAGCGAGGATTTTTCCTTGTTGATGACGAATCCCAAGGATTCTATCAATGAGGATGTGTAGTTCATTTGTGATTGCAGCCTGGAGGTGTCGTCGCAGAGTAGTAAAAGGTCGTCGAGGTAGATTAAGCAGCGAAAACTCCTTGCTCGAAGATGTGCGATGACTGGCTTGAGCAGTTTGGTGAAGCACCAGGGAGCGGAACTCAGGCCGAATGGAAGGCAGGTGAATTGTAAGATCCGGTGGTGCCAGGGGAAGCGGAGGAAACGTCGACTGGATGGATGTACTGGCACGGAGAGGTAAGCATCCTTGAGGTCGAGTCGGGTGAACCAATCGCCTGGTCAGAGAATGTCTCTGAGGAGATGTATCCCTTCCATTTTGAAATGCCGGTATATCACGAAGGTATTCAATTGGCGAAGGTTGATTACCGGGCGGAATTCTCCCGATTTCTTTTTGACCAGCAATATGGAACTTAGAAAGCCTTCGTCGTGTAGAGCGGGTTGAATCGTTCCTTTTGTTAGCAAGGAACGTAGTTCTGAATCGAGGAGGAGCCATTGAGATTTTGACATTATCGGGTAATGTGAAGGACCTGTTTGAGTAGGGATAGAATAAAACTCTATGAAATAACCCTGAACCGTGTTTAGAACCCATGTATCTGAAGACAGCGTCTTCCACATATCCACACAATGTAACAACCTGCCCGCATGAGAAACTGTAGAGAGGTGAAAAGTAGGAAATCTCACCTGTTGGGTATCTGTAGCGTCCACGGGCTCTACCTCCTCTTCCCCTATCTGACCTTTGGGTGTAGAAACCTCTAGATTGATAGTTGGGGAAGAATGATGAAGTGGGGGTTCTTTGGCGTTGGTTTGTAGGCCAGAAGCGGCTGACTGTATGACCCCTTGGATGGCCAGCCCTGCCAAAAACCCGAGAGGGTTGTTGGTGGAATACTCTTCTCATGGATGATTGCGCCTTGTTCAGGGTGGCGTATAAATTTACATGCTTGTGTAATTCTTTAATATAGGGTTCTCCAAATAATAGACCCTTGGCCTTGGGGCCCAACTCTTTGGTCCCCAGGTCGGCTAGTTTGGCATCCATACGCAGCAGCACTGCTTTTCTACGCTCAGTAGAGAGGGATGTATTTGCATTGCCCAGCAGGCAAATGGAGCGTAGTGCCCATTCTCTGATCACAGATGGGTGTAAAGGGCCCTCGTTAGTGAGGGCTTCATCAGCCAGTAGTAGAATTCTTGCCAAGGGCCCTAGGACATCCAACATCCGGTCCTGGGTGAGGCGTAGGCTGCGTTCAATGCCCTTTTTAGGGTCACGGCCAGATCTGGCTAAATATGTGTAGAGCAGTGAATCAAACTCCAGGGTCATAGCGACCTTGTCCGGCAAGGTGGGCCTAGGGCATTCAGCTCTTAGGCATTTGCGGACCCCCCGGTCTAGGGGTCTCCTTATCCAGAAATAGATATATTGTGAAAGGTGATTTGTGTCACGATTCGGGGAACCCAACATGCTGACACACACACACACACACACAAAAGGTGCCGTACCGGACCTTAGAGTGGCCGGGCTAAGCACACACAGAATAGTTAGGAGACAAGCCGAATAAGGGGAACCAGAAGACAGAATAACGTGAAACAAGCCGAGGTCAAAGGGTAGGAGAAAGTCACAGAGTCAGATAAACAAGCCAGAGAGTACGTAACCAGAAGCACAAGGTAAGTAGCAATACTAGAAAGCAAAGACCACAACAGGGCAGGGAGGAACAGGAAAGGTAAGTATTTAAACCATAAGGTTAATTCTGATTGGATAATTTCCAATCAGAATTAACAATCACACGTGGGAGATATCTAGACCTCCCACTGTGATTAAGGCACTGTGCCTTTAATGCCGGGTCAGGTGACTGACCCCGGCGTGTATAAACCTGGGCGGTCTCCCAGCGTGCAGCGTCATGCATGCTGCCGCTGGGGGACGTGGAGGAAACGGCGGGCGGCATCCGAGGCTGGAAGGATGCCGCTCGCCGTACCCACGAGGTGGAGGGGACCGTGGACGGCTGGAGGGTGAGTACTGCGAGCGGAGTGCAGCCTCCCCTCCCAGCCGCCCGCGGGATCCCGACAATTTGGGAGTGACCATTCTGAAGATCGAGGGTATCTGATCTGTCGTGGGTCAAATAGGGGTTCACCAAGCGTATCCAGAAAGGCTTCGGGTACTGAATCCTCCGTAGTGGGGTCTCCCGTGATATCTTGAGGGAAAGGTGCTTCTATGAAAGATGCCTCAGGCCAGTCTTCTTCGTCTTCTAAAGAGTGGCCAGCTTGCCATTCATCTAGAATGGCCAATGGGTGTGAGTCGAAAGAGTCGTCTTCCTCCTCCGACAAGGTAGGCTGTATGGGATGTTTTTCCTTGGCGTCCGCTTGTTTTGGGCGTTTTGCCGGTTCTTTCCCTTTGCGTTTGAGTGATTCTGGCCCATCCCCTTTCCAATATCGTTTATTGAGTTTGGAAGGGTTCCTTCTTGTAGAATCAGAATTATTCGCCTCTTCGTCAGGGTGCGGGGGCTCAGAAATTTTGGTATCTTTGGGCTCAATGGGCAGCACCCGAGCCAGGGTCTTTTCTAGTGAAGCGGCAACAGCCGCGTTTATAATCGTTTGCAGATTTTGGTCTTGGTTTGAAACCTCCATAGCAACAGTGTTGGTACCTATGGGGCAGAATAGGCCAGCATTAGAATGTATTTTAGGGCCGTCTTGTATATCAAAAGCGAAAATTCACCAGAACTGAATTACAGAGAGAAGTATCTCTGTGAAAAACAAATTCTGCTCTGTGGGAAATATTGTCCTGAGAAACATAAGTTAGTGAACTTATATATGTGTATCTTGTAAGATTTTTGTACTGCCGATTAACAATTAAAATGGCCGCCGTGCGGCTAGAATGGTCGCCGATCGCGGCTCCAACAAAATGGCCACCGCGATCTCGCGCATTCGCACAAGGTGCAAACGGCCGTTCGGATCTCGCAGCGATGCGCGAGATCCAAGATGGCCGCCGTGCGCACTCAGGGCCGATGGAGGCGTACTCCACAGCCCAAAAGCCCAGGAAAAACGGGGCAAAATATGCCGACCGCAACCTGGACCAATAAAAAGTAAGAGACACAATAAAAATGTATAGAAAAATGAAAAAGAACGTAAGGGACAGTACAAAAGGAATAAAAGGAGAACATTAGGCAGTAATAGAGAATAAGTTAAGAGAAAACTTTAGAAAGATAGCTAAGGTGGGACAAACACCTTAGAAAATAGGAAAATAAGTATATAGCTAAAGTATGGGAAACATAGCTAAGAAAAAACAAAGATTAAATAAACAAGTTAGAATAAACAGGATAGTAAATAACCCACAGAAAGTAAGAGGCAGTGGCACTCTGACCTGTACTGGTGTGAAGCAGCAAAGAAAGAGGAAGTGACATCACAGGGAGGGACTCTTATACCTTGTTATCTCTTTTTTCTGATTGGTTACCCTGTTACTAAGTAAAAAAGTGCTGCTGTGAAGCTTAAGTAAAGAAAGACTTAAGCAAATACGAAGCCTCCTGTCATGATATAAAATTAAACGCAACACACCACAAGCATCTTCTCTACACACTTATCCTCTCAGACACAGAAATGCTCACAGAGATATACATTTACAAACAAGGATACTTACTCTCAGACACACACTTAGTAAGAATGCACACAGTCAGATAAACCTTTTGAAAAAACACACAAGGTGACTAAATGCCCATATTTGTCAATATGTGTGTGTCTTTGCATCAATGTGTATGTGTATCAGAGTTTGTATATATGTGTGCATGCATCCCAGTGTGTATGTGTGCATGTATCATTGTGTAAGTGTATTAGTGTGTGTGTCCATGGCTGCAATACAAGTTTGATATGATATGGCCAATGCCATGGTAAAGTGGCAACATATATAATATACATATTCAATACATAGGACAACATATGTATGTCAATGTCACATATTCTGAAATGTTAGTTATTTTGAACAATGTATTCTTATCTGCACCTTCTCTATTTGGTATATGATTTGAAAAAGAGTTTTTCTGTCTAAAAAATTGTTACATGGCATAATGTGCTATCTATGCATACAGAAATTAAAAACACATATACAAATTACTTTCCAGGACCCCCACATTCTTGGATTCTGTGGGGGTTTTCTCTTTTTTTTTTTTGCAAACCACTTGGTAGTAAAGGGGTTTAAGCAAAAAAATAAACATTAACACAGGTTGCTGTTGCCTTTATTCTGTTTCATTGTGTCTGGGGAATTTTCAAGATAAATTACTTCGTTAGGAGACCAGAATATCACTACAGTTAATTAAAAATTCCTTTTTATTTTTTTCTTTCTCCATCATATGGTCATCATAAATCTGGTGGATTAGCTAAACTAGTGTACCAGGTCACTTAACATTACTTACCCAAAATGAATATATACATATATACGTATATAGGTAGGTACATAAGCATCTCAGTATGTGGGTAGAGGGTTCTATCCCTTTTTTTATATAATATTCTCAAATATATAGTAACCTAGTCACACAATGCACAATGGGGGATTCGTTTTTGGTTAAGGAGCAGTAATAGGACTGACATTTAAAAATGTAGGCAAAAATTGTTTTAAAAAAATATATATTTTTTTATTTGTATTTTTTTTTTTTTACATTTTATTATTTTTATTTCCAACTTGTTCTTCTCCAGGTCGTCTTAGAGGAAGCACCTTGATTGACCTTTCTACTGGCCCTATTATTTTCCAGTTGTTACCACTTTGTAAATACTTCAAAGACATCACTATTCTAGAGCTTAATGAACACTGTCGAAAGGTGCTGCAGAAATGGCTGAATAAAGAAGAAGATGCCTTGGATTTTTCTCATGCTGCAAAGATTGTTGCCGAACTTGAAGGAAACAGGTGAACCATCTTTTCATGGATCCAATGTATTTCTGTGAGTGATAAATAATGGAAAGTAGCAATTATAGCAATAAAATTATAGCTACTGATAAATGTAGGTAGTAATATTTATGAGAACCAAGAAAAGAGAAGAGGAATAACTTGTAAGGTCCATATTACAGTGAGGGAAAAAGTATTTGATCCCGTGCTGATTTTGAACGTTTGCCTACCGACAAAGAAATGATCAGTCTAGAATTTTAATGGTAGGTGTATTAACAGTGAGAGACAGAATAACAAAACAAAATGACATTTGCATGTAAATGGGTAAGATAAGTATTTGATCCTCTATCAATCAGCAAGATTTCTGGCTCCCAGGTGTCTTTTATACAGGTAACGAGCAGAGATTAGGAGCACTCTCTTAAAAGGACCTGTATAAAAGACACCTGGGAGGCAGAAATCTTGCTGATTGATACGGGATCAAATTCTCATTTCACTCATTGGCATGCGTTTTTCTAGATTTTTTTTTTTGTTTTGCTATTCTGTCTCTCACTGTTAAAGGACCACTATAGTGCCAGGAAAACATACTCGTTTTCCTGGCACTATAGTGCCCTGAGGGTGCCCCCACCCTCAAAGTCCCCCTCCCGCCGGGCTCTGGGGAGAGGAATGGGTTAAACTTACCTCTTTCTCCAGCGCTGGGCGGGGAGCTCTCCTCCTCCTCTCCTCTGTCTTCTCTTCCTCTTCGGCTGAATGCGCATGCGTGGCAAGAGCCGCGCGCGCATTCAGCCAGTCCATAGAAAAAAGCATTCACAATGCTTTCCTATGGACACTGGCATCTTCTCACTGTGAAAATCACAGTGAGAATCACGCAAGCGCCTCTAGCGGCTGTCAGTGAGACAGCCACTAGAGGATTTGATGGCTGGATTAACCTATTTATAAACATAGCAGTTTCTCTGAAACTGCTATGTTTATAAAAAAAAAGGGTTAATCCTAGATGGACCAGGCACCCAGACCACTTCATTAAGCGGAAGCGGTCTGGGTGCCTATAGTGGTCCTTTAAAATACACCTACCATTAAAATTATAGACTGTTCATTTCTTTGTCAGTAGGCAAACGTTCAATACCAGGAGGGTATCAAATACTTTTTTTCCCCTCACTATATATATCACATGCCATAAAATTGTGTTATTATATTTTACAGTGAGAAGTGGGTTGAAAAGGAAGATGATCTAAGAAGATGTATTAAAGGCATATTGCCATGTGATTTTACCAAAGAAAACCCAACTGACCCTGTCGTGCTGCCAAAAGCAGATTGTGTGATTAGCATGCTTGTGCTGGGTTTAATTTCAAAAGACCCAGACAGTTACCATCATAATCTAAAGATAATGTCATCTATGCTTAAATTAGGAGGGCGTCTTTTACTGATTGGGGCATTTAATGCATCACATTTTAAGATTAGTGGGAATGCATATCATCTCTTAAATTACAATGAACAGGATCTAAGAAAAGCTCTGAAAGATTGCGGTTTTTCTATTGAACGGATGGAAGTGATGGAAAGCAAAATACGCAGTGATATGTTATGTTATAATCACATTTTTTATGCTTGTGCTGTTAAAAACAAAGAGACTTAAACCAGTTTATCTCTAAATAGTTGCATAGTAATGATGTTCTTTGAGGGTGTTGGGTGGATTTACCCTCATAGTCCAATCTGGATAAATCAAATTGTATTTATTCACATAGTAAAGTAATATTGCATTGTTACATTGCTCTTATGTACTAAACAATAAAAATAAAGTTGGTGTGATAATGAATGGCGTTTTTAATTCTATTGTGATATATTCTTCAGCTCAGGAATCTCAATAGTAAAATAAATACATAACATATTTTCATTAGAATAATGTCTGTACCTGCTCGTTGCATACAATGTCAATTTTATATATATGCATACATTATAGTGTGGTGCTGGTGCCAAAATATTATTAATATTATTTTGGCCCCAGCAGCACCCTATAATGTATGTATGTTCAGGTGAGTGCAGCCCTCTTGGTTTCTTTTATATATTTGGGAGTCCCAGGCCAGCTCTTTGGTTTTGCACCCCTCCCTGTTACAGGTGCCTCATTCCAGGACCCTATTTAGCCTGGACTTGCAGAGAGTCCCAGTAAGGAAGTATTTCCCAAGTAAGTGGATTAATCTCATAAGAGCAAGCATTAGGCTGCTACTAGGGGATAGGACCTACCGAATATGGGGTAATTTGACGTAGTTGGCAGGCTTATGCAATGTATGATCATATAATGTAACTAAACCCCCGTTATTTTTTGCCTAGGTGAGGCGTTTTTAAATAAAACGATTACAATCTCTGAGATTTGAAATCATTGTTTAGTGATTCAGCGAGTGCGCTGGATTCTGTATTTTGTATATTTTGGCCCCAGCAGCACCCTTTAATGTATGCATGTTCAGGTGAGTGCAGCCCTCTTGGTTTCATATATATATATATATATATATATATATATATACACACACACACATACTACATCTGTGTTTTCAGTTCAAACTATGTTCATGGCAGAAGATTCAGTCTAGTTTTGTATATGTTGCGTATGTTAAATTCCTTCTTTATAATATAAGGTGCCCTGTGCCTTTAAAATCAGCACTTTGACCACATTAGCAACTTTCAGATAATACCTTCACAATCAGAAAATGTACCAATGTATGGCAAACATGTAAAAAGCAATGTCCCTTAACATATATGTGATCACATCAAAACACGCATAGAAAACTCACAGTAGTTATTAATTTCCATCATAAAATATCATTAAATATATTGACATTGAACCAGCTAATGCAATCACAAGTGGAGAGCAGGCAAACGCTGCTCAGACAATAATGTTTCCAGCAGTGGGAGCCATTCATCTGTAGTTCACCAGGAAAAATTAAATGAAGCAATGGAAAGCACATAATATCTATCCCACAAAGCTTTAAATCCCACAGGCAGGAACCAAAGCCTATATTACAGTGATGGAACTTATGCAGAGATGGCTCTAATGCAAGAACTATTTCTGGACCCCCTCTAACACAGGGGCGAACAAAAGGTAGATCCTCATCTGTCAAACTCCTATAATGCTATGCCAGCTGGGAATTTACCATTTGCCCATCCTTGTATGGTTGTATTTGTGCATTTCAATGTAGTATGTGTATGCATATAGGGTTGTAATTGTATGTACTGTTGCCATTGGAATGCAGTAGTACATAGTGTTTATGTTTGAATGCAGTGATGTGTTTTGTAATCTTGGCTTATACATGCATGTATACTTTTGTGTGTAGTGTTGGTGTTTGAATGAAGGGGAAATTGTATATAATTTTAAAGTTTTAATTTAGGCTTGCTTGTATGTAATGTTTGTGTTTGAATGCAGGGGTATGTTTGCATGCTGAGTGTCACGGTTCTCATTGTGTCATACAGACAGTCAGACGTGGCCGCTCCATAAATGCTCAACAGGGGAGTTGATCTTGGGTCTTTTGCTGCCTTTGAGCCACAGCAGTCCCAATCCTTGGAATTGTTCTAGTCCTTTTTATCCTGGCTTGTCTGCAGCACTGGGGGCTGGACTTCATCTATTGCTGTTCTTCACCTGAGATTGATCACTCATCTGCATATATCACGGTATGTGATCACTTCCTGTTTTCAAGTCTCCTGAATTTGTACTCCATATTGACCCCAGCTTCTGACTTTGTTTATCATGACCTCTGGCATCCTTTGACTTTGGCTACCCCTCGACCATCCTTCTACTTGTGTTCTTGCTCCTTACCTGGTCACCTTGGACTGTGTCTATCTACAAGGGTGAGCAAACATATATGCGCTACATACTCCCAACTCAGGTAAGACCCTGACATTGGGTTGGTGTTTGATTTTTGGGACATATGCACATATACACAGTCACTGCCACATACATGCATACATACATGCATTAACACACATTAACACACTGGTGCACACATAAAAACATACTAACACGTACATTCACAAATATACTCACTGACATACACTCAGATACAAACATTGAAACTTACATAGATACACACCCTTACACAGAGATACACATACAAAGACCCTGACACCCAATACACACACACACATACAAACTCAGATACACACATCTTGACACACAGACAAGCACAATGACACATACACACATTTACCTACAGATATACACACTGACCCATAAACACAACCTGACAAAGATATGCATAGTTTATACAGATTAAGGAACAGCACATACATAAAATACAATTTAAAATATAAGGCTAGCCATATTGTGTTAAGCCCACCACTACTTCACAATACTCCAATAACAGTGGGTTCTACAAAAATGTATACATAATACAAACTAAGGAACAGCACACACATAAAAATACTGTTAAAATTTTATAGGGCTAATTGTGAAGCAGTGGTGGGTTTAACACAATCAGGCCTAATGGCTATATTCCCGGCTCCCAGTATCACTGCAGGGTGCACGAGGTAGTAGAGTAATGATAGCATAGCTATAAATACATACAATTGGTGGAACACACATCTGACGGTTCTAGAAAATAAAACAAAGTGACATAGTATAATACTGTATAGTATAAATATATAATAGAAGCAATAGAGCGATAGTACTAACAAGCCCAGAGCCAAACATATGGCTCTCATGGGGAACGTAGTGGGACTCTTAATAGGATGTCCCCATCCTTCTTCTTGTTCTTTCTTGGATAATTTGGATGATGGTAAGGTAAAAATGCGATGCTCAAGTGTGTTATTCCAAGAAGAAAAAACTTGTGCAGTAGACATTGCTTACCTAGATTTCAGTAAGGCTTTTGACACTGTTGCACATAGAAGGCTTATCAATAAACTGCAATCTTTAAGTTTGGATTCCAATATTGTTGAATGGGTAAGGCAGTGGCTGAGTGACAGGCAACAGAGGGTTGTAGTTAATGGAATATATTCGAAGCTTGGACTTGTCACCAGTGGGGTACCTCAGGGATCTGTACTTGGACCCATTCTCTTTAATATTTTTATTAGTGATATTGCAGAAGGTCTTGATGGTAAGGTATGTCTTTTTGCTGATGATACTAAGATATGTAACAGGGTTGATGTACCAGGAAGGATAAGCCAAATGGCAAATGATTTAGGTAAACTAGAAAAATGGTCAGAATTGTGGCAACTGACATTTAACGTGGATAAGTGCAAGATAATGCATCTTGGACGTAAAAACCCAAGGGCAGAGTACAGAGTATTTGATAGTCCTAACCTCAACATATGAGGAAAGGGATTTAGGGGTGATTATTTTTGATGACTTAAAGGTAGGCAGACAATGTAATAGAGCAGCAGGAAATGCAAGCAGAATGCTTGGTTGTATAGGGAGAGGTATTAGCAGTAGAAAGAGGGAAGTGCTCATGCCATTGTACAGAACACTGGTGAGACCTAACTTGGAGTATTGTACACAGTACTGGAGACCGTATCTTCAGAAGGATATTGATACCTTAGAGAGAGAGTACAGAGAAGGGCTACTAAACTGGTTCATGGATTGCGGGATAAAACTTACCAGGAAAGGTTAAAGGATCTTAACATGTATAGCTTGGAGGAAAGACGAGACAGGGGGGATATGATAGAAGCATTTAAATATATAAAGGGAATCAACACAGTAAAGGAGGAGACTATATTTAAAAGAAGAAAAACTACCACAACAAGAGGACATAGTCTTAAATTAGAGGGACAAAGGTTTAAAAATAATATCAGGAAGTATTACTTTACTGAGAGGGTAGTGGATGCATGGAATAGCCTTCCAGCTGAAGTGGTAGAGGTTAACACAGTAAAGGAGTTTAAGCATGCGTTGGATAGGCATACGGCTATCCTAACTATAAGATAAGGCTAGGGATTAATGAAAGTATTTAGAAAATTGGGCAGACTAGATGGGGCGAATGGTTCTTATCTGCCGTCACATTCTATGTTTCTATTCATTGTATGTAATTAAAGACCAGTGCCTCTCAGCATCCTTATGGAATTTATATTAATTTATAGAGTTGTCATGGAAACAATTATTATGATATACATTAAGCGCATGAAGACTGCCACTGGGGCCTGTAAGGAATTCAAAGGAATAAAATTAAAGGGACACTCCAGGCTCCCACACACGTTAGGTGCACTGTGTAGGTTAGTTTACAGTTTAGTTATACTGGGTGGGTTTATATTATTAAAGGGACACTTCAGACTCCCACACATGTTAGGTGCACTGTGTAGGTTAGGTTACAGTTAGTTATACCAGGATCATTATCAACTGTATTTACTAAATGGAGAAAATTCATTCATATTACATTTTTAAATTAATTAAAAGTGTCTGAACTGGAAACATGATCGCAGTCAGCTATGTTTTCACTTCGGCTACTCTGGCTACGAAGTTGGAATTCACTGTTTTAGTAAATAAACCTCTCTATCTCTTTCGAATAATTGCCGGACATTCTTTTAACGTAGTATAGAAAATGCCCAGCAGTATTTAGAATTCTAATTGGGCAGACTAGATGGGCCGAATGGTTCTTATCTGCCATCACATTTTATGTTTCTATGTCTGTCCCTGGGACAACACCCTGCTGGAGAACAATAGAACAATAAAAAGGGGGAGAGGCACTTTTTCATATGGATTTGAAGGGGTAGAAAAAGTGTTTTAAAATCCAATAAGCTCAAATAGACTTTTTAAATGGCAATACACCCCAGGGGCCATAGTCACAGGGCAGGAGAC